GTGTGTGTGGGGATCGCGAGTGTGACGGTGCGTGTGTGTGTGGGGATCGCGAGTGTGACGGTGTGTGTGTGTGTGGGGATCGTGTGCGTGTCTGAAATGGGGTATTATCCTCAGCTCTTTTTAAGGCAGACAGAGAGAGGGGGGAAGTGAGCTTTGCGATCTGCCAGGCTGTGTTTCCTGTTATTACTGTCTAAATATACTCTCCTCTGTTGGAGGCGTAGGGGAGCGGAATAGATTTATGTGGGAAAGGCGTTCTGTGCTCTTTGTACTTCGGCAACAGTACAGCGTTAACCGTTTCACTGTCGGCCTGCGCAGTGCAAGCGTGGCCCACAGACACCGCTGCTCTGCAGGTGCCGCCCGTGTCACTTCCTGCACTGTCTGGGGAAGGACCCCCGGCCTTGCAGGAAGTGACACGGGCTCCTCTGGAAGTCCTTTACCCCCCCCGTTTCCTCTGGGGGGGGGCACCCAGTTTCCGTGTTTGTGTTCGCACCCCTGTCTGCCCGCAGGGGATGCTGTGATGTCAACACTGGGCCCGTTGTTGCCGACAGAGAAACTGTTGACAAGCCGGCTGCCTGGCATTGTCCGCGGCCCAGAGAGCGAGCTGGGCTGAACCGAGCTGGGCCGAGCCGGGCGAAGGACGAGCGTGCCCTCGCTGTCGCAGGGGCAGGGAAAAGAGCACGAGCCATTGTGCTGGGATTGTGGGAAGAAGGGCTCACCTCCCGGGATCCCAGAGATCCACAGAGCGCGAGCGATCCGGACTCCTGCGTCCTGGTGTGCGTCCCGCAGAGGAGGAAAGGGGATCGTTCTGGCAGCTGGCGCATTGACGGGTGATGAGGCGGCACCTCGGGTTAAAGCTCATCTCTCTCCGTCATGGCAGGCCCTGGGGAGGGGGGGGCAATTCCCAGTGAGTGCCCCCCCTCCCTTCCCCGCAAAACATCCCCTGCGGCAGTCTCGAGGGGCGAATCGGGTCTTCTGATCGCAGCTGGGTCTACAGTCTGCTGGGTGTGACTTGCCCCGACACGCGTTACAAGCCAACACCCTTGACCCCTTATTAGCTCAGTGCATTAGTGTTGTTGAAGTTTGAGAAAGGCTGCAGCTTGTCAGTCTTCGTGTTGCTCCCTGCGTTGTGAAGTCCGCCCTCCTGGTCCTCCCTGTGGTACACAGCTAGCAGCTCCCTCCTCCTCCTCCTCCTCCCGCAGGGCAGCTCCCCCGCTGCGTGATCGTCCTCCAGCAGCTCCTGCTGGATCCTGTACCCGGCTGCTGGCCTCTTTCAGTTGTGTGACCCCCCCCCCCCCCCCTTCCAAGACCCCTGCGCTGTCCTCCTCCGTCTTGTTGGCTCTGGGGACGGATGAGCCTGATCTACGAACGAGGACTAACGCGCTTTCCCTTTCCAGACTGAGCCTGGCTCTCGTTTCCTTAACCCTTCTCCGCCCTCCCTCTCGGCTGCCTCTTCGGCTGCAGTGGATGTTTTCCTGTTGCGCAGTGTTTGCACACCCAGCCGCTCGGCGCTTTAGTGGTGTTGGGGGCGACAGTACATTGCGCTGCATTTAGCTGGATTGAAGCATCTCGCTCACAGAAATCTGGTAAACAGAAAATCAATTGTCTGTGTTGCTAACAGTAGCTCTATTCTCCATTTTCCAATTGACCAAGGCCTCTGACCCCTGGACAGTATCTACAGTACAGACCAGCACTACCCTGGACTCCGGACTTTACAGTGCTGTCACTCTGACTCCCAGTGCACAGCAGTCTGATCCACTCCAGGCTTTA